CAGATTTGAGAAACAACCTTTTCTTGCTGTAGTTCATCCCTGCTGTTGGAGGGTTTTAGTCAGTATAGGATAGCTCAAGCCAGAGAAAACTGGTTAAATATGGTTTGGTAAAAAAATAATTTAAGAAATTGACCCACATCGCTTATCAATGGTCTGACTGTGTCCCAATGGTCTTCTGTGGCTTGGTGTGTCAGAATCTTAAAGGAAATTTTCACCCAAAAATGAAAATTCTCTCATCTACTCGCCCTCTGCCTTTTCCTAACTTCTATTAGTTTTTTCTTCTGTTAAACGCAAATGAATATAATTTGAAGACAGTTGTCTATAACTACTGATTTCCTGGGTTCTCCTTCTATTGTATTTAAGACAGTAGTTACTATCCACTTTTGTTACCAACAATCTGTAAAATATTTTCTTTTGTGCTCAACTAAAGAAAAGCACCAATATCAACTTAAGCCCCATTTAAATGCCAATTGATTTTCATTAGGGATGACTGTATGGGAAAAATCTCTATCTAAAAAAACTACACTCCTCAGTTATTAGGCTTCTGTTGTGATGGATGGATGGATGGATGGATGGATGGATGGATGGATGGATAAATAGATAGATAGATAGATAGATAGATAGATAGATAGATAGATAGATAGATAGATAGATAGATAGATAGATGGATGGATGGATGGATGGATGGATGGATGGATGGATGGATGGATGGATGGATGGATGGATGGATGGATAGATAGATAGATAGATAGATAGATAGATAGATAGATAGATAGTGTATGTATGCATATATACATGCTTTCAGATGAAGATGCATTTGCAATTGACATCTGAGAGTGTAATCCTACAAACCCTGAAATACGTGTCTCGCATGCTCAGTCAGATCCTGTGAATATAGCCTGTAAGATCCCTTTTCATGCAGAGTTTAGCACTGGCATTGATCATACTTCCGATTTACATGGGCGTTGGCATCATTGCTGACATCATTATCAACAGTCAATTATCATTATCATGACAACAGTCAATTATATTGGTATACGACGCATATCAGCGTCCTTAAAGCATTTACAAAACATCTTTTTAATTGATCCCCAACTACCTTTTGTAAATGGTGAAAATCTGAGAAACAAGGTGTAAATAGGGCTTTAGACAAAACTTGGAAATGGTGAGAAAATATTTTTTGGGGGTGAACTGAAACTTGGGGTGAACTTCTATTATTTCACTTGTCTAGAATCTGATCTTCAACTCCATGACCAACTGCCTGGGTCCTCGTAAACTGCTGCACAGTGGAAAGGTCTTTAAGATGAAGAGCAATAAAGAGTTACACGCTTTTCTGTTCAGCGACTTTCTGCTGTTCACCCAAGCTGTCAGACAGTTCACTTCTTCAGGAACAGACAAACTCTTCAGTCCGAAGTCCAACACGCAGTACAAGATGTACAAGACTGTAAGGGTCCCACTCCTCTTTATAAAGAAGTATCCTTATTACTAGCTAATTGACATTTGGAATAATGATATGTTTGTGTTCCCAGCCTGTCTTTCTGAATGAAGTTTTAGTGAAGCTTCCATCAGACCCATCCAGCGACGAGCCTGTCTTTCACATTTCCCATATAGACCGTGTCTACACATTGAAGACCGAGAACATTAACGAGAGGTCAGTTTCAGCCACAGCTTCATTTATCAGCCTTATCAGCAAGCCTCTGTTTACTGGACACATGGGACATTTTATGAACCGGTAATGGAATGTTGTTATCGCCACATTGTGTGGGATGTGGATAAAAAAACAACAGCAGCCGCTTATCATGCTGCTGGAATGCCACGGCTAGTGTAAAGGACAGAATTTCAATGCAAATTCGTGTTTTTCATTCAGTTCATCAAACTATACCTATTTATTTTTATTATCTAGTGAAATGTTTAACATCTGCCTGATATCCCGCTAGGACTGCATGGGTTCAGAAGATCAAAGTAGCATCAGAAGGTTTCATTGAGACTGAGAAGAAGAAACACGAAAAGGCATATCAGTGTAAGTTTTATTTTTGGCCTATTAAAAGTGATGATTTAATAATTTCTTAGACAACGACCCAAAAATTTGGTCTTAATAATTTTATTTATTAAATTTTTTGGAAATAAAGTAATACTTTGATTCAGAAGGTAATTTAATTTGTATTATTATACAAATGTAAATATGTATATGTCTAAATAAAATAGGAACTTGATAAAACTTAAAAGTTTTTGTGTTATTGAAAATATTTTATATTTATATATATATATATATATATATATATATATATATATATATATATATATAAAATATAAATTTTAAATTAATAAAACCATCACAGTAATCAGAGAAATACTCACAGCATTTGTTTTTTAACATTGATAATAATAATTAAGCATGTTAGAATTATTTCTGAAGGATTTTGTTGCTCTAAAGACATGAGTAAGAGTAGAAATTCAGCTATAAATAATAATAATAATAATAATAATAAAACAATATTTGAAAATATAAATATATTTTACAATAAAACTTACCATTCATTCAACTCAACATTTTACTGAGCCACATTTTAAGGAGTGTGTTTTATGCTCTAAGATGTCAGTATTAATAATACAGCAGGTTAGAAAATTTTTATGTATTTATTATCTTTTTAATTTTATTTACATATTTTACAGCTCGATCAATGAAGGGAAGTGGCATTGGTCGCCTGCTTGTCACCATCTTAGAAGCAACTGAGCTAAAATCCTCCAAACCAAATGGTGAGTGGTTTCATTTGAAAACATGATTAATACTTTTTTAATAATCTGTTTTCAATCTACATTTACTATTCATAAATTACATCACTGCTTTTGCACTTTTTTTCTATAATTATTTTATTTAGGAAAGAGTAATCCATACTGTGAAGTGACCATGGGCTCTCAGTGTTACACTTCCCGAACCATCAATGACACCGTCAACCCCAAGTGGAACTTCAACTGTCAGTTTCACATTAAAGACCTGTATCAAGATGTCCTCTGCATTACGATTAACGAGAAAGAGCTGTTTTCACCAGATGGTTAGTATGAAATAACATGTATGATACTATTTCTAAACCAGACCGAAACAAATTGTGCTGAATTGTATATTTTTATCCTTTAAAAGGGTGGTCCACTACGATATCATGCCTTAAACTTTAGTTGATGTGTAATGTAGCTGTGTGAACATAAACAACATCTCTAAATCTCTAATGTTAGTTTGCCAATGGGGAATGAAAAAGCCCCACTACTCAATATTTTCTTTTAGTCTGAAGTTCATCCACATACTGAAATAAAATTCTCAGAATCTTCTGGTTATTGCTGACTTAAAAATGGATGAGATTTAGGTCATTTGCATTACAACAGCCAGTTGGGTGGAGTGTGGATTGGGGAAGGGCATGTACATGCAAACAAAATCGGTTTCAAAATGCAATTTTTTTAACGCTATGCTGTTAGTATCTTCATGTAAACTACAAAAGCATTTATTAAAAGCTGACTTTTTTTTTATTGTGAATTGATATGCATTGACATTTATATTCACTTTTCAAAAATCCAATGCAAAAATGACATTGTTGTATTGTTGATGTAAACATACCCTTATTCAGTCATAAATTAAGCTCTCTATAGATTTCATAGTATTCCCTAAACTTCCTAAATTTCTCTTTCTCCCTGTACAGCCTTCTTAGGTCGCACTGAGGTTCCTGTAGCCACTATTAAGAAAGAGCTTGAGAATAAAGGTCCGTCCACAAGGAGGCTGCTGCTTCATGAAGTGCCCACGGGAGAGGTTTGGGTTCGGCTTGACCTGCAGCTGTTTGACCACAAAACTCCCAAATGATGATGGAGGATGTCTCTTCAAAGCTGCTCTTCAAGCACAGTGTCTCACCACTAACTCTCAACATCTTCAAGACTGACCTTTGCCTTACAATGTCCTACTAATGAGGAACATACTAATGAATGTGTTTGTGTTCACAACTTTGCCAAGTTATGTTTCTTGATCAAGCAACATGGGAACGAAAAGGGAGAATTAGGGATTTTTAGTTTTATTGCCTAAAAAATAATTTTTCCACTGGATGTAGAGATATTCTCAGGACCTATATTTTGCTTCAAATATACTGTCTTTTATTAATGTACTTAAAGCTATATTTGTTATACTCGTAATTTGCCTAGATCTGAAGTTGATGAGAACCCTTTTTTTGAACTTGAATATTTTCATCAGTAACACTAAACCAGGTGGTGTTGTTTTAATTCATTATCTGTCTGCCTTAACTGCCAGTTCTTCCATTAAAATTCACCCTAACAGAATTAATTTGCACCAGTCAGTGGATCCTCCGTAAAACCTAATAACATTCTGTTATATGTAACGTGGAAGGAACTTATTTTTGCAAAGCTTACTAGTTTTATTTACTAAGGTACAAATGAGGTGATTAACCAGGGATTATTGGTTACAGGTCTAATCACTGTTGATTTTGTTTGCTTGACTGAGTTTTATTTATGTTAATTTATGCGTCTTGGACTATCTGCACATTTTACGCTGCCCAATATATCTGCAATGCCTTTAAGCATTCAGGTAAGGTCCTAATATTGTATATTTTTGCTGAGTTGGATAGTCTGAGCAGTGACGCAAGTCACAGTTGTTGTTTTTGAAGGTTTTACTCATTTTAGTTTTAAATGTAATAAATTTTGGATTATTCTTATTTTTCCTTGCTCTACTCTTGCTACTTAGTCCTTGATTTTTAGCCAAGTATTTGTTTTGGAGAAAGATGGTTTAATGTTGTTTGGTAAGCCAAGCACAAATATGCAACAAGCATCAGGTTTCACATGCAAATAAATACATTTAAAACGTTATCAGTGTTGATTGTCTTCACTACACACGAAGCAGTTAAGTAATTTTAAGACGACTGACGCGTTTACGATGAGGTAGAACCAATGACTATAAAATCAGGTTGAACCTTCTGGCTTTTCGGGTTAGGCAGTTGTTAGGGCAACACAAGTAAACCACCTGACGACTGTGAAAGAGTGAGACGCTGGGAGACACAACATTGGAGCAGTTTTGAGCGTATTTGTGGTATAGAAACTAATCATGAATCCATTACCGAAGTTATTAGAAGACTGCCTCATTTCCACGAAACATGTAGAGCGTGCGGCGGTATTCGTGGCTAAAACTTGCGACATAACGGCCGCGTCCAACTTTACAGTAAGTTAACGTTACATTTCTTCGCGTTCATAACCTTAGCAGATAAATAATAGAAGTTTCATTGATAGTATTAAAACAGGCATGTTAATTTAGGTGACTCGGTATAATCTCTTCAAACAGGTATGTCTTGAAGAAATACAAATATTTCTCGACGCTTTCAAACATCTAAATGAAACGATGAAGAAAGGACTGATCTTCAGGGACAAACCCTACACCTGTGTGCGTGCTGACAAACACTCCATATACGCCAAAAACGTAAGTAAAACACTTGTCAAAGTCATCTAGATGTCGACAAAGAATCTGCTTGAATTATCTAATCAGCCAATTACGGAGGAAGCTCAATGCATTAAAGGAAAAGGGATCATTCACCCGCAAATGTCAGTTCTGTCATCATTTACTCACCCAATACTTGTTTCAAACATTTATAAGTTTCTAATGTTGAACACAAAAGAAGATATTTTGTTGAATGCTGAAAACCTGTAACTGATTAACTTCTATAGTAGCTGTTTAATTACTGTGGAAGTCAATTGTTACAGGTTTTAAGTTTTCATCTCATAAAGAAACTCACCGTAAAGTGGAATCACTTGAGGGTGAGTAAATAAATGTGTACATTTTCATTTTTAGGTGAACTACTGTATGTCTCTTTAAGGCTGAGCAACTGCATGGAATAGTTGATGGTGTCAAATGGGTAGAGGAGATTGTCTGAATATTTCAGAAACTACAACTGGCTGACAGTTGAGTTCTGTGTGCTAAAATGCCAGACTTGTTCAAGCTGATAGAAAGGCAAGAGTAAATCAAATATCTACTAATTACAAAGAGAAGTCTGCAGAAGTGCAGCTCTGAACAAACACATTGAGCCTTGAAGTAGATAAACTACAACATCATCTGCAGACAGAGGCTTCAATTAACACAGACTTACCAAAATTAAATGATAGCAGATATTAAAAAAAAAAAAAAGGTTGGCTGGCCTGATTAGTCTCCATTTGTACTGCAACATTCAGATGAAATGGTCAGGATTTGCATAAACAACATGGAAACATTTGACTCATCTTTCCTTGTATCCTATGGTTCACACAGGTGGTTGTGTAATAGAGTGGGACATATTTGTTTGCCACACAATTGAACGTTGTTTAAATGCCTCAACCTACCTTAGAATTTTAGCTGACAATGTGCATCACTTTACGACCATACAAACATCCTGTTGTAGATGTTCCAGTGTCCTGACATTTTATCTTACCCATCAGATTATGCTACCAACACTGTATTTGTCTGAGGTTGGGGTTAGGGATTAGGTAGTTTAGAGTGATATTACAGCTTCATATCACTCCACATAAAAATTTACACTGTTAACAAAATCTGATGGGTAGCATATTGCGTCATCAAAACGTGCTACCTACTTTTTGAATGGTAGGTAGGACAATCTGACAACAAAGTAGGACAAGTTGACAAAACACCAGCAGTTTGTTGAATATATGCACCCCCCACCCCCGGTTACGCTTTTTTATAGTAAGTATAATATAAAGACAAAATGGCATATTAGATTTTTTTTTTATCAGTTTAAAAAGATGCAATATTAATTATGCCAACATTTCAGCCTTTCAGTTACATCTTCAGTTACATTATTATTACCACAACAATAATAATAATAATAATAATAATAATACATTTTATTTATAATGCTCTTTTCTCAGAACCAAAGCGCTTACAACAGGGGTGCCCAAACTCCTGGGGTCCTAGCGGGCCGGTGTCCTGCACAGTTTAGCTCCAACTTCCTTCAACACACCTGCCTGGAAGTTTTTGTATACCTAGAAAGAGCTTGGTTTGCTTGTTCAGGTGTGTTTAGGTCAGAGAACCGAGTTTGGGAACCCCTGCTTTACAACATCAGTTACATTATTTTTTTGACCAGAATCTTTGTGAAACGTAAAAATGTGTTAAATTAAATTTAAAAAATCAACATGTCAGACAAAAAAATGTGCACTTTACCAATGAAGATGAATTTTATCAGTATGATTACTTTTTTTCTCTAAGATCATCAAATCAGACTTCATTCACTGATTATTTTCTTTGTTTAGGAAGGACGTGGCCTGATACTGGTGAGAACTGCACTGTATGTGATTGTTGCCACATACTCACAAACCATGCATCCAAGTATCTGTGTGGAAGCAGTTGAAAAACTAGGTAAGCTACAACAGGTTCTGTGTACAGCTAGAGTTTTAAAGCCAATGATAAACATCCGGTGAAAGCTTAATGTGACTATTTAATTTCACAAGCTTGTTTTAACAGCATCGATGTTGTGATGTAATTACAATGCATTCAGTTCAATAGACTTAAGCATTCAGTTATTCAAGCATAAAACAAGATGAAAGGCAGTTAGCGCCATTAGAAGCAACAGGCCAGTGCAGAAATTCCATTGAAAATACTGGAATAAAATAAACTCATATTTTAAAGACATGACGGGAGAAATGGAATTTAATGCAGTCCTGCTTACCCGATCTGAGACCCACTTCATATCGTATATCTAACAGGCAGTGAAGATCGCGGATTTTTAAAGAAATGTGACAATTTTGTAATGGAAAAGCAGTTCACTGGAAGCCCTTGGGCTGCCTGGTTGAAAATGAAAACTCCTTGTGCATATACAGGAGCCCATTTTAGAATCATTTCAATTTTCTGCACAGATGTAACTTATTAAAAACAAATTTCTCCATGAATTTTAGGTGATTATCTGCGTGAAAAGGGAAAATGAAGCACATCGTATCAAAGGAGAAGAGGATCTTCAGTGTGATTGTTTTACGATTGATGAGAAACTGTGAAATGTCTCTGCTTAGATATACTGGAACAAAAAGGTAGGTTGTTTCAGTACCGCTCAGACAAACAAGAAAGCAAGTTTTAGATTCATGTAATGGGATTTTAATTTACATACTGAGATTTGGCATCTTAAAATATACACGCAACAGTAGTTTTTACATCTCAATGCTTAACAGAATGACACATCAACTCAACTGCCACAACTTAGGCAACAAGATCTTTCACAGAAAGAATATAAAACTCCATGGAGACTGCAAACAGAACAAAGCTAATGTAACTTTAAGTTATGGACGTTATGAACAAGACATGTTACATGGATTTAGTACCACAGTCTTTATATTATTCCACTTTTTTGTTCAGAATAAGAAATCTTTGTTAAGTACAGAGAGAGCAGAAACATTCTATCATGTTTTGACCTGATCATTCACAGTTTGTAAGTTTGTAGCAGTCATCTGTCACATACAATAAGTCTTTATCGCCAAACTGAACCAATTAGAGATTAGTAAAAATTGCATTTTCATGTTGCACACATCTGTGTCATACACTATTTTTAATTTGCAAAACAATAACACATGAATTGCCATAAAATATACACAGTTCTTTCAAATCAGTCTCTAAAGCCTCTTTATCATTCATGCATCATGTCAGTGCTTTTTAATGTGCTCCTTGATAAACGGGTGAATATACTTTTCCTTGTTAAATACAAGGTGGAGCAACTACACAAATGTTGTCCATTTACATATTACACAAAATCCTTGTTCATTCACTATAGACATATATTTAATTATACACTGCTTTCATAACTCGCAATCCAGCTCATCCTTTAATAAGACAAACAATATGCACCATTGGGTAGAGGTGTTGGTAGAACTCAGATCACTCAAATGAACTTAAGATAATATAATGCACCATGAATTCAGGTTTTATATTCTTAAATCCTGAAATAAAGCTAAAATCACTAGACAAAAATGGTTTTATGCATGAAAATGTTTATGGCGTATTAAATATTATATGACGGTATTATGAAGGAATTAATACAGGTAGGAAATACTTGATGACCTGAGTGTTCTTTGCATTGTTGTTTGCTTTTGTTTAGCATGCTGATGAGTATGATAAATAACATTAATTTCTGAATGATTTGTATCTGCTGGTCATATCATGTACTTTACATTATATACACAAATAATAATAAGGAATGCAAATAATAATATATAAGTCGTACATAGTTGTCCAGATTACATAATTCAGTAATATTCTGCTTCATTTGTTCTTAGGTAAATGGAGAAGTAAAATAATTAGTAAAAAAAAAAAAATTTATGGAAGTTGACTTAGGTTGCAAATGACTACCTGTATAAATTTTAAAACACCTGAGATTTTCTACAGCTTGATTTATACCCAGATCTGAGTCCTATTGTTATAATTTTTTTAATTCCAGGGAACTTTTTTTTTTGATAATTGATCAGCAAACGTTGTTATAGTATGTACTAAAATAATTATCTTCCCTCATTTATCAACCTTGGACAAAACCAATAGACATTTCTAATAGCATAATGTAATTACCTTGTGATTTATGAGTAATGCATTTGGCACTTGAAATAACTGTACCATAAACAAACAAAACAAATCCCTAATATGAGTTCCATAATACTCAACATACAGAACACACACAGAAATCATAAATGCATGTTAAAAGAATAAGATAATATAGAAAGAACAGGCAGAGGGCGACATGCGGTCTGCAAAGTGCTTGGTTGCTTGTGCGTACAGTAATACCTATGGCAGTGCAGCGTTAGTGCTGAGATTTAGCTGATGTTGGCTTTTGTTAGTTTGTCCTCTCAAGCCTGTTGATCCTGCTTTTCTACTTCTGGTAACTGTTCTCTCCAGAAGGTGAACTGGCTGAATGTGTCTGAACAGGGGAAGTCGGTGGTGTTCCCTCTGATCAGAAGAGGAAAGACATGATCCACAACCTCACACAGACGACCATAACTGTAAAACACACAAGAATATTATGATCTAATGCCAGACGGTCCAACTCCCAATTATTAGATGCTTGATTCAGTTAGAATCCAGTGCTTCCCTTAGGTTTGAAATCTACTTGCGGTGGTAGCCGGATTGAAACACACCACAATTTTATTTATTATTACTTTTAAGTTCAAAGCAGACTTGAATGCCAAAACATTTTAAATATAAATAGCCTATGTAATATAACCTAATGACAACAAAAAATGGGAAATAAATGACAGAAAAAAGGAATTACAGGCAATATCTCTAAAAATTATAACAATAAAAAAATTAAATTGTGTAGATTATTAAAATAAGGCAAATGCATTGATTAACCTTTACTAATGGTGTACATTTATTTTGCAGCCAGTTTAGACCAGTCATTTCATCCTCTCCGAGTATATAGTAAAGTTTTTCTGAATCTTTTAGATTCAAGAATTAATTATTGAATGTTTCTCTCGCTCTTGTGACTGTGCGTGTGCAGTTAGCTGCAAAGCCAAGCGAAAGTAGGCTTAAGTAAAAAGGTAATGCAAAAACACTTATGATTAATGAACAACTTTAAAACCAAAAGCCGAATCCAAGACATTTTAGAAAATTTAGAAACTCGGACGGACAATTTTAGTGCCAAAAAGGTGCATCTCTGTGGGTCTGCAGAGCATATGAGACTGTCGATGTGAGCGCTGACAGGTCTTGCGCACACAGAACAAAGGGGGTTAATGAGAGGGGTTTTTCCACTAATCGATTGTGGATGTTTGGTAATATTAGGCGGATACAATATAGTGTAAATTGATGATAATAATAATAATTTTTAATAATAATAGTAAAAAAAATGTGTCACTAAATATACTTGGGCGGCTGGTAATATACCCGGCCAGCTCACCCAAGTAAAGTTTATAAGTGGGAAGCACTGGAATCACAGGCCTTGTTTACACTTGGTATTAAGATGTTTTTGCTGATTCAATCCCAAGTGGACAACAGTACAAGTTTAAAGGAGGCGTGAAATGTTAATCCCTGCCCTCTGAAATTATATGTTTGATTTGAAGCCGAATAAAAAATCTAGTCATCCAAAATGTATCTTTATACTATATTTAAATAAAACTGAATAGATAATAGTGCAAATTGCAAAAGCATTTCAATATAAGAAGAATTTGAAAGGGCAAGTCAGCTTTATTCTCATAAAAGTAAAGAATATTTTTCTGCTTTTAGTTTTGTTCAGTAATATAAATAACAAAAACCCAAAGTGAGACATCTGGACGTTTTTTTTTAGGAAAAATGTTTAAAAACCTTATTGTCATAAAATCAATCACATAATGCAAAAAAATAAAAAAGGCTTATGCTTAATATTGTCAGGTTTTCTTTCCTTTAAATTGTTGCCAGTTGGTGGAAAAGACAAAATGTCAAAAGTAAAATGTCTGGATAAATTCAAATCAATAATTGAAATGAAAATTGTGCTTGATTATCATCAAACTAAGTTTTAACTTTTTTTTTTAATTACTTACGATGATATGTTGGTCTTTGCATGTTCTTGAATGAGCTCTCCCTTAGGATTCACAGTGAATATTCTGTTCAAAGGCACTCCCACTTCTTTATATGAATAAACATCCTGGAGAGAAGAACATTCCTTTGAGATATGCATATGTAAGATAAAGATTAGTTAGCAATTACTGCTACTAGTACGTACTGTTGCCCTGTTTCCAAAAGCAGCATAGAAGGGTTCTGCGTTTGGATAGAACAAGTTTTTAATGTCAGTCAGACATTCGATTTTGAACTTTTCTGGCTTCTTCTCAATGACCTCCCTAGGAAAAACAAAAAAAACAAACAGTTATTATATTACATCCATACATGGTTTTTAAGACCTACAAACATTTTGTATGCATTCCAACCTGTGAAATGCAGAGAATAGACTGCTAGGACTAAGCAGCACAGGTCCCATTGGTAGCATAGTGCCTCTTTCATTAACCCAGTGCAGGTAACCCCGGGTCATATCAGCCATGCCAATCGCCCGAGCTGAACAGTACATAAACTTGTAGCCGTTCCTGTTTGAGAAGAAGTTTTAGATATATCAGATTATTTTTTAAATGCCCAGACATCCTTCTGCACACATTTGTCTGATGTGACATGCTCTACTTACTGGCTTACTCGGTGATAAAGTCTGGCAATGCCCTGATGGGTCCAGTCTTTTCCCAGAGTTGGTAAAATGTGTCCCAGGGTGTCAGACCTGATAGAGATTTTGCAGTTTACACTGGGTACTTTTATTTTTGCATTTGTCAAGCCAAGTGTACCCTATCGCCACAGACATTTGTCTTGAATAGTCTCACCTTGTGATGGTGCCATCAATATCTGAAATCACTATTTTGTCATCCCAGTTCCACAAATAAATGGTGCCCTCACAACGGCAGGTGCCTTGGTATTGGGTGGTGACGCTGAAAACCACATCATTGGGGCCATCTTTTAAGTTCAGACTGGCCTGAGAACAGAAAAGCAAACTTTTAGCCTGGGTTTGCTCCACCATTTTTTATTGGCTTTAAATGCTTTATGAAAAATGGACATGCTCACTAGCTGTTCTGGGGACAAACGAAGTGTCTTTCTGTAGCAGTGGCCTCCAGAGCTATGGAGAACTTCAGGCTGATTCATCACAGCAATCTGTTTAGCACCCCCACTGTCATCTTCACTGGATGAGGATTCATCCTTTAATCTGATAAAAAAAAATTGTATCCCCAGTTAGTCCATCTCATACTCCATGTACCTGCATTTTTAATACTGAAAAATGCCTTTTTTTAGTCATCTTCTGAACCTCAGCGTAGTTAACCCAGACTGATGTGTTAGAGCAATGGTTCCAAAACCTTTTTTTCTAGGGGACCTATATTTTAGCATTGAAATGACCCTTCTCTCCATTAAAAAAACAGACAAGAATTTAAAAATCTGCATAAAAACTGCATAAAGATTTAAATAATAAGAATAACAATGATGATCAGATTTTAAAAGGGAAAAAAAAATTAAATGGTTGACTCAACTTGATCTACTAAGATTACTGGTAACACTTTAGAATAATGATTCGTTAGTTTAATGTATTTACTAACATTAATTATGAATATTCTTGTAAAGAATTTAATAATCATAGTTCAACATTTACTAATTTATTAAAATCAAAGTTGTGTTTATTAACATTAATGCAGTGACTGAACTAACATTATTTAACTTAAATAACATATCAAATATAAAAAAAAATACCATAGTAAATGTGTTACTAATTGTTTGTTCATGTTAGTAAATACATTAACGTTAAAACATTTTAAAGTTACCGATGTACTATGTTTTAAACTAAAGGCTTAGGAAATTATCACTTTTAATGTATCACTTTTAATGCAAGAGACCTCAATCCATGACCTGTGACTTAATTCCAAATTCATCATCAGATTTTACATGCAAGTTTGTAAATGTATAAAAGTAATAATGCATAATTAGTGAATGGAACCTAATTTCCTGCTTCCTTAATGTGTGATAAATTAGGTTAATCGTTTACCTGCTGACAGATCCTGTTCTTATTGACTCATCTCCACATTCAATCTGGTCTGCTGCTGATTCCTGTATCAGTAGCAATAACAGAAATTCAGCTACCAGCAAACAAGTCTTAAATAAATTCACTATGTATTATATGCAGTTATACCGATTTGGAGCTGCTGTTTCTTCCGCGCCACGAGAACCACCAGCGTCCTCCTTTCTTGGGCATCTTCTCCTTCATGATGTTCTCTACTGTAGCCTGGAGCAAACGCAGAGAGTCCCTGATACTCAAAACTCAAAACTAAATGACAGGATGACTGTGACTGAACACACATGCAGCTAAAAAAATAAATAAATCAACACAAATTCAAATTGACGTACAGGACTAGAGCCGAACACGCTAGGAAAACAGTATGTGAAGAAACCAAGAGCAGAGTAGACATAACTCATACAGGAATACTTAGCGCAGTGGTGCACAATGGGATGGGATGAGGGGAGATCAATTTAAACAAAAAAAGAAAGAAGAAAAACAAGGAGGAGGAAAGAGACAAATTTAAATGCCCTGGAGTGCCATGAGAGCCGGGGTGCAGTATACACAAGGACTTTAAAAAGCCATGAAACACTCGCTGGGAGAAGACAAACAATGCAGAAAAGCAAAAGCATCTTCGACAGAGTTCACATATTTAAACTATGCTACTCATTTAAACAATCCTATAAACTATAAAATACTGACTGTGCATTAACCATGCAGAGCTTTGTAAATAATTATAAATATTCTAAACTGAGACATCTAGTGAAGTGAAGTATTGTTTACATTTGTTTACAAAAATGAACTATTGCCTTTGTTGCAATCCACCAACAGGGGGACCTATTAATTAAGTTTTTATTTAAATTTTTTATTTACTATTTTGTATTTATTTACTTTTTACGACTATTTATAAGCGGGTAGTCTGTTTTTAGTCCTAATATTAAATCTTAAGTAAAATTGTTTATTCAAACGTATTTTTAATTGTATCATTTCATTTAGTTTTGACTTTATTTTAAATATTTTAAAAAATTAATTGTATTATATTACCATATTTATATTAGATATGCTTTGTTAGAAATTGCTGATAGCTCACCTAATATGAAAGCTGTTCAGATGCAGTTTAATGTGTTAATGACTGAGGCTGCGTACGAAATTGTTGCGTCCATACTATTTAGTATGCTAAAAACTGTATGCAGGCCGAGTATTATGTCCTAATTTATAGAATTTGAAAAACAGTATGTGAGAAGTGCCTGATGACCTACTTTTTCCAGCGAGATTGTAAAGTGTGCATCTGACGCACGCTACACTATCCCATGATGCAATGTGAAAGAATTCATGAAAGTGATGCAACTGACACAGGTAGGTCACGTGATCATGTCTGAGTTCCATTCATACTGTATAGAACGTACTTTTCTAACGGCTGAGTAGTAGATTTAAATTCAGATACCTACTAAGACAGGGGTTACCAAACTTGTTTCTGGAGGGCCGGTGTCCTGCAGATTTTAGCTCCAACCCTAATCAAAAACACCTGAACAAGCTTATCAAGGTCCCACTTGGCATACTTGCAACACCCAGACAGGTGTGTTGAAGCAAATTGGAGTTAAACCCTGCAGGGACACCGGCCCTCCAGGACAGAGACTGGTGACCCCTGTACTAAGAAGTAGGCAATTTCGGATGCAGCCTGAGCTGTGTACGATGCTAAATATCATTTACAGGTGGGACAAAATTTTAAGTGACCTACATACAGTGCGCGTACATCCCTGAGCAACAATATTTAAGTATGACTTTAACCACTTGACTAGATCTAAAATATGTTAATTATTTTTTGCTTCTTACACCTTCACTATTCCTTCGCTACTATATATTTTATTTTTATGTCAGAACATTTGTATTAGAATTATTTGTATCTTATGAGTATTGCCTCTTTATGATGAGTCACTTTTCTCATTTGAAAGTGGCTTTGAACTGAATTTATCTGCAAAATATCTAAATGTTAATATCGTCAATGCTGGTTAAATGCTTATTGACCTTTATGTATGTGTGTGTGTTTTTTTTATGTAGTCCTTACCGTTGGCAAGGGCTTCTGAAAAACCTGCATTGCCAGTACAATAGGAGCGGCTGTGGTCCAGTTGTAATACCTGGAACAGAAATAATTGAAAAACGTATTAAATAAATAAATGGCTTGATTTTAAAGTTGGCAGTATTTTAACAGATTTTTAATGAATGCGATTATGTGATATGTTTTGAAGATTCACGACATACTTAGTTCCAATCTTTACAACCAAGTTGGGATCATCAATGATAGCGGGATTATCTGCAAACTCCTGATAAGATATTGCACGTTCCTCAAATTCCTCTGTGAAAGAAAGAATGTGCAGAGTTTAATAGCTTAATTACTCTCCAATTAATGACATCAAGAGGAAAAGCAGGATGTTAAAGGGTGTCACACACTGGATGCGCCACGAAACAGGATGCACGTGACAGTTGAAAGTATCGCACATCAGATGCGCACATTCGCATGCTATTTAAAATGAAACTATTCAGATGGCGGCGACGCAGTGGGTAGCACGTTTGCCTCACAGCAAGAAGGTTGCTGGGTCGAGCCTCGGCTCAGTTGGCGTTTCTGTGTGGAGTTTGCATGTTTCCCCTGTGTTCGCGTGGGTTTCCTCCGGGTGCTCCGGTTTCCCCCCACAGTCCAAAGACATGCGGTACAGGTGAATTAGGTAGGCTGAATTGTCCATAGTGTGTGTGTGTGTGTGTGTGTGTGGATGTTTCCCAGAGATGGGTTGCGGCTGGAAGGGCATTCGCTGTGTAAAAACTTGCTGGATAAGTTGGCGGTTCATTCCGCTGTGGCGACCCCGGATTAATAAAGGGACTAAGCCGACAAGAAAATGAATGAATGATTCAGATGGCACTCTGTGCCACGGCAAAAATATAAACAGTGTCCTGAGTCGTGGCTGGGCGCCACGGGCAGCTGCCGACTTGCGGCGCCGATGTGTGTACCCTGATAGAAATCTATGTTTAGAATTCTAAAATGCACACGGCTCGTCCGGTGTGTGAACCCCTTCATTCAGAACAGCTGCTGAAAATAAATTTTTACTGTTTAAAAGTTTGGGGTTATTATTTTAAAATAATTAATGTTTTTATTCAGCAAGATTTCATTCAGTTGATTCAAAGTTGACAGTACTGCCATTTTAAAATATAACATTAAAATAGAAAATGTTTAAAGTAATAAACAGTACTAAAACTATTATGTTAGTTAGTATGTTAGTCATGACTTTACCTCTAGTGATCTCTCTGTTTTCTGACAGACCTCCGCATAGAGAGATCGCAATGTGAGGCAAGTCTCCTAACTGGTCAGAAAAGCTTTCCACCCCACTGTCCATTCCACTACTGCCCACTGACTGAGGAGACTGATTGGCACTTCTAGAATCTGCTCCACTCCTCAAAGATGTTGCTCCATCACTGATCAACAGAAATACATTTCACATTTAAATATTATTTAAAACTGGGTTTTTAATATTTTAGATGCTACAGAACCCCGAATATGATCATCTTCAAATGAAGTGTCCCAATTCTAACACAAAGCATTTTTCATACTATGGAAGTCGACTGCTTGTTTACTAGCATTTGTCATAATATCTTCGTTGTAAAACCTTATATTTAAAACAAACTGAGGGTGAGTAAAATCTAATTTTGAAGTGAAACTAGTATCCCTTAAATCTAATATTTATTTATTTATTCTCCCAAAGTTTTGGAGAATTTCTGTGAAACTATTTTAATATTATTTTTATTATTTATTATTTTTTTATTAATTATTAATACATTTTTTTAAGATTCTTAGATTATATTAATCCAACTGTATTTATTCTAAAATGTTTAAATGTGTTTTAAATTTACTTATTAAAACCTAATTATATTCTTCTACAAACATTGTCATAGACCGTAATCACTCATGATTTTAAAATATTTACGATATGCTTGGATCATAAATAAGCAAGTGACTAAATGGATGTAGACCATTTTGAGGTACATATATCCTGTTTTACATTTTTAATTTCTATAGCTTCCAAGAATCCAAAAAGAGCCACATATTGATAAATAATGTTATGATAGCTGTTTTACACTGTTATAATTGAATTGCCTCTTATTATAGTTATGAAATAGTTTGATAATAAGCAGGAAATGTTCATAGGCCAATGACATGATCACATTGAAATGGTCTATACTGTAGTTAACCTCTTAAATCAATAAAAGAGATTTGTTTTTTTATCAGTTTAAATGATATCAGCATAAATGTACCTTTTTGGAAAGTACAAGGCCGCCACCTCAGGCTCCAACTCTGTGATGTCATCCAGATATACTCCATCTGATCCCAAGTGTGGGCTTCTCTTGTCTATCCAGAGTAACATTTATAAGATTCAAACAGTCAAAAAAGTGAGCCAATGTTCATACTCCATATCAAGCCCTTTATATACAGTACCTTTTCTTTTGGATGGAGAGTCCGTCTTGCTAATGGCATGAGCTCCAGGACTGTGACGGCCGTCCTCGAGTTCTGTGATCAGATGAGCGACTACACTGATGGGCTCCACTTCTTCAACCGCAGTAGATGTTGCCTCTTCAGTTCTGATATCAGGCACATACATAACACTGCCCCGAGACTCCACCATCCCATCCCCAGTGATGGCTCTGAAGTGCGTGCTTTCAGATCGCGGTATTGACTTTGGGGTGACCACCATGGGCTCTGGTAGCGGCTGCCGGAATGAAGGCTGTAGAAGAAGATACACATTGGTTTAACTCTTTCAGATTTGCATTTTTTGTGGTCCAGTGACATAGCTGGTGATTGCTATACCTTAGCAGCGTGAGGCAGCTCTCCCCATGTCCACAGCATCTCAGGATTGTCTGGTTTTCCTTTGTTCCTTTGACTATCCAACAACTCTGAGTCACTCTTAGGTGTAGATGGCAAGGAGCCATTTGGACTGTGATGGAGACATATTTGGATTAAGTGGGTTTGTGTTTAATAATTGTCAAATAATCTGATAACAATGGCCTTTTATTCCTTAAACTGCAAAATTGGATTCCCTGCTGGACAAATGTAATAATTGCGCAATACAATACAGAAATAAAATGCTTAGGTTGCTTCTTATGTCTTTGTTAGAAGTTGTATTAGATTTAATGGTGAGTGCAGTGGTTACCTGTCTGTTCTGTGGAACATCGCGGATTGTTGAGGGCAGGAGATGGATAATCCTGTATTGGTGGGAATGGGTAAAGAGCAGGTCTTCTCCAAGCCGGTGCTATGTGTAAATAGACAAAGCTTTAGATTTAACTTTAGATTAAATAATGTTAAAGGATATTGCTATGCAAAATCTGCTCGATATATAATGGTGATCGATATATATATATTGATATAAGCTTTAGTTCAGTGTCAGTTACAATCAGCATTACAGAATATGCTGGAGTTTTGGGTTACTGTGGTGTGGGAAACAACCTCGCTGAACTGGTTATTTCTTTTTATGTGTAATAGAATAAATAGGCTGCAGACATACACATTTTTATATTTTTTTATTTAATGAATTGCTGGGACTACAATGTTTGCATAATGCAAACTGTATTTTATTTTATTCAGCTGATAGAAAAACATAGATTTATGAATTTGTACCTGTTTGCATACACTTTTACGGCCTGGTATTTTTTTCTAAATATCAGCAAATATTTTTTTGTCCTAAAGAATTCTGACTGGTGGGAGTTTGTGTTTTATGTTGTTTTCTAGTAGTGGTGCGTTTCCTTCTATTTTGGAATGGATTATAGTAATAAATATATGCCTACTTCCTGAAAGGGCATCCACTGCATAAAAAAACAGATGCCGGAATAGTTGGCAGTTCATTCTGCTGTGGCAAACCATGATAAATAAAGGGAGTAAGCCGATGGAAAATTAATGAATGTCTATTTCCATATTACGATATATAGTAAGGCCAAGAGGAAGTGATGCAATAAGTAAATAGTACCCAGAGGACTATTTCCGGTGGTATTTGTAAAGTACATCCAATAAACATTTTACTTTGAATTACTTAAAATTTTCAACAGATTTTTCTATTTTGCAACTTAGTTTTCTCATAATTGTTATGTGATCAGAACTGTGATGCTTGTATCTTCACCCCTTATTGAAAAACACTGTTGGCATACCTTTGAACACCAGCCCAGTTCCTTTCAGACTGCATGTATGTGTTGCTTGCTCCTTTCAGCTGCTCAGCGAACAAATCATGCGACATTGCTCTGAAATCATACACAATAAAGGCAGAGGATGATTACTATAAAGATATTGTTCTAAAACTGTATCAACTTTAAAACAATACTCCAGTTCACACCATAACTGTAATGACGATGGCACAGAAAAACAGTATTACATATAAAACAGCCAATCAGAATTTACTTTGCTGTTAAAGGATTAGTTCAGTCAAAAAACAATATTCTATCATTAATTACTCACCGCAAATTCATTTCAGTCCCCTGAGGCCTTTGCTCATCTTCTAAACAAAAATTGCTCTCTGACCTTGGACAACAAGGCTTTTAAGACATTTTTAAAGACATAGGTCAAGAAAGGGAACCAAAAATATTATCATCATTTCAAACATAATTTTAGTGGTTCAACTGTAGCAATCATAGTCACTTATGTTTTCTCTAGGTCCTGGTGCATGTTTACTATGTGCAATAAAGCACCTGCTTGTTGTGCTGCTGACTCTAAAAGGTAATATGTCCTATCGCCCCGATAACTTGAGAAGGAAGACAAGATATTGATGTTTTACCATTTTTTACAACACAAGTGTTCTTAGAGCTTTGTATGATTACAGTTGAACCATCAAGTCACATGGAAAGCTTTTGTTTTCTTTTTTCTGGACTTTGAATGTCTCAAAATCGTTGCTGTCAATGGAGGGTTAGAGAGCTCCCGCATTACATCTAAAATATTTAAAATATATAACTTGTGATCAGAAGACCAACAAAAGGTCTCAGGGTACTGAAACAACATGAGGGGGAATAATTTATTATTATAACATATAAATATATAAAAATATGTAAACATTTTAATTTTTTTAATTAGTGTGAACTAATCCTTTAAAAGCTAGCACAAATAATGTGCAAGGAGACAAACTGCAGTGCAATATCATCAATTGTTGTGGAGAGAAATATAGTCATGTATTCTTATTGTTGATATGAACAGGCCTTAATGCATTGGAAACATTTAAGTGAAGTTTATTTACAAACCAATTTCGAGAGGATCACGTGCTTATGATTGTTCTCAGCTGTTCCAAAATCAGCTCATGATGAATTATTCTATTAGATGATTCCTAACTCACTATAAATAACCAGAGTTTTCTTATTTCAATATCTTAACTTGAAGACAACCCCCACCCACCCCTTCCTTCCCCTTCTTTTTTAGATGGGCGACACGGCAGCCTAGTGATTAGCACTGTTGCCTCACAGCAAGAATGCCTTTGGTTTAAATCCCTACTAAACCAGACGACATTTCTGTGTGGAGTTTCGCTTGTTCTCCCTGTGCTCGAGTGGATTTTCCCCGGTTTCCTCCCACAGTCCAAATAACACGCACTCTAAATTGAACATACAGAATTGATACCATAGTCAAGCTCTTAGCGAGTACACCTCTCCTCAGTCATCCATATCCGCCATTTAGCTAGAAATAAGGAGGGAAAGTTCATCGAGATCTACCTGAGCTCAAACTCTTCTCTCGCCCTGCAAACGGGAGGGAGCCCAGGGCTCCAGGATCTCATAAGCTCAGGACTCTTTCCTGGGACAGTATGCCAAACAAGTTTTATTATCAATCATCAGTGTGAACTCTTGAAAGTAACTTTTCATACTTATAAACTTAGTCAAGTATAACCTTTAGTGGTTCCATTCATAAGGCTGATTCTTCCAAGCAGACAGAGAGCATTGTGGGATTTCTAAAGAGCTATCCTCTGGATTTAAACTACTGCTTTGCAGAGCAACACATTCTTGAGTGTACATTCATTTGCAGCTGAATCTTTTTAGCCTTGTGAACCGTGTTTTCCCAGTGGCCTTTACTGGCAGTTTTTAAAATTATTACTGGTACCTGGGAAACAGATTCTTGGTAAAGCATAGCATGTAAGGTACTAAAATATTGACCTTTTAACATGCTTATCCAGATTGAAGTGATAAAATACATAATTTGCTGCATCCACTGGGAACGAAAGAAGGGAAAAGGATGTTTACGTTAAGCTGGTTTATATTTATAAATCATTTCTTTTCTTGGAGATGTGGGGGTAATTCTAGATTGCCCAGCATCACAAAGGACTCCCCTCTCAAGCTGGAGCCAGAACTGGCATGGTTTCATGGATTTCGTGGAAAAACATTGGAGGGGCTGTTTGAGCCTCTTGTTTACTTCAGCAATAGGACTGGCGACCTCTTTTTCTCCACTTTGCTCCTCTCTCTCCATTGCAGAGCTCATTCAAAGAGTGAATAAACAGGCACAGCCATATCACAAGACTGCTTCAGTTGGAATCATTACAGCAAAATTGAACAAATTATGTTAAAATTATGAAATTATCAGAGCCATCTGTTTTGGCCAAACTATGTCATGCATGCATCATCTATGTCCTATGCAGGAAATAAGTTTTGCTCTACAACCCCTGCCAAGCTGAACTCACAAAAAAGTGGGACTCAATGTGAGATCTTGGCAACACTAATATCTCCATTTACTCATATATAATGAAAGCAAATGATGACCAGGAATTGTCAAATTCATATAAAAAAGGCACAACAAAATATGCCACAACAATCATTATTGGCTTTTACATGTCTCAAAAAGTGCAGTGTCTTAAACCTGACAATTAAATTATAGACTTAAAGGTGCTGTATGTTTTTTGACTTCTCTAAAGAATAAAAATACCATAATATGTTTGCAGATATTTAAGAAGCATGCTAAGTGAGCATTCTTGTTTACCTGAAAAAAAACAATTCTGAAGAAAGTTATTCTGTTTTGAAAATGTGCTTTACGTGCCAGAATTTCTGTCTTTGTTATGTTTTTTTAACCTGCCCACTGCCACTTTAGCCAATTATATTTCAGCACCCCAGAATGCCTTGTTGGAAAACCGCATATTTCCTTCATTCTGTCAGAAAGCTCTTGAAGCATGCGTCCGTGACCGAAATGCAACCTCCTGTGGACAATAGCAGACTCCGAAACGAGTTGCAAATTCAGAATTGCAAATGAGGTGGTTATCAATTAGCAAATAAAATAAATATTATAAATGTAAACATTAGGTGAGCAGGTTACATTATAACCCTATTTCCTAACAATACGCTACATGACAAGATTTGCAGTGATAAGCAATTTGGCTGTTTAAATATCATTTAAAAGCACATAATATGCACTTACTCTCGAAATGTTAAGGTTTAAAATGTAATTAATACATACTAAAACCTCTTTAACATTATCAAATGTACATGTTGAGTCACTCAATTTCAAACGGTTTATTTTATTTTCAAGGTTTGAGGTGTAGGTTTGAGGTGTACTATCTGCTGCTGCTTTCAGTAGTATGGCAATAAATGTCATGTAAAATGGCATTCAAACTCACATTATTAGCATTTAACACTGAATAAAGCACATGGGGTGTACCTGAGGTGATCATTGTCACTTTTCTGCCAGAAATAGAAGCCGTTTCTAATATATCAATTTGAGGTGTTGGTTAGAACAAAAACTCATTTAATATTAAAAATATTTCTTCTATCACATGCTGTTGCTTTTATTTAAAGCATGGTTTAAATCAGCCTATGTTGGTCCTCAATCTGGCAACCTGCGCTTGTGTGTGTTTTAATCCTGGAATGCAATACCTATTTTAACCACTGGGTGTCAAACTTACATACTGCACCTTTAAAGGGTCACGAAACAAAAAAACACATTTTTAGAGCTGTTGACAGTCATATATGTGCCCCATGCTGCTATAAACACTATTAGGACACATATATTACACTAAAAAGTTCAAATAGGTTTTTTTTGTTACTTCGAGCAAATTCGTTCTTCCGGTTTGAAACGAACTTTTGAAGCTGCGTCACACAGATTAGATCCTTGTGTGTATTCCAGAGTGTAGACTGCTTGTCTGTACCTAGGACTTTGTGATGTCTCTGAGTGTGCTGCATTCATTCATGAAAAACACTTAGTTCAAACCAATCAGCGCTCTCTTTTGTGTATGGGGTGCAACTTCATTAATATCCATGATAGCTTCGAAAACTGTTTTATCTGAAACAATCTTCAGACGGAGAAAGACGGCACGTTGTGTTGCCAAAACACAAGTTAAAGTTAGTTAGTTAGTTAGTTAGTTTTTTAAAATGATTTCTAAGTTACTTAGTTTACAGTATGTTAATATCACTATAAAATTATGGACAGAAAGATCTGCTGTAAATGCTGCTCTCCCAGTGTAAACATATATACACCCGATCAAACTATTACCGACCATTGTGTTGAATTGTCAATGCATTTTGTGACAGGATAGTCTACACACACGTCTTTCTGGCCTATCGAGTGCAGAGTTTTTTTTCTCTTATACGATGTGCGGTATCAAACATTCCACTGTCATTAAACGCAGTCACTGTCTTTTTCCCCTGCATCTGTGCGTTTGTTTTGCCTCTGTGAAAATCAGCGCGTGCCTAGATAGAAACTCCCATTTTTATTCAAATCCTTCCCTCCCCGACTGTCCCACCTGAACCGAGCTAGACACACCCACTTTCCTGACTTTTTCCAAACTAGAGGTGTAAAAACATCCCGCTGAAACAGGGGGGTTTCATGGCCCTTTAAGAAAAGTAGAGATACTTTTCATTTTTTGGTGCTTGACTGTCCTTGGTATGGAAAAGAGCAGCACAAACATCATTCAGAATTTCTGCTTTTGTGTTTCACGGAAGAAAGAAATGAATACATATTTTGAAACTTAATGTGCATGCTAATACTTATCAGATTAAAAAACGCTCTCCATATATTCTGTTTGTTCTGACCTGCTGCCTGAAGCCTCTGTGTCATCATCATCAGAACTCATGTCGATGGGAAACATGTCCTCGTCTTCTGAGTCTCCATTGTCCTCACGCTTCATGCTGTCTACTTTAGATTTTCTTCTCCTTTTCCTCCTTTTCTTCATTATTGAACTGTCACCAGGGGGCTGCATGGGGCCCAGGGTTTGAATGGTGGTTCCGTTTCCAGATTCAGACAGGCGGGACGTGCCTTTACCCATTTGGGCCTGCATTAGAGCAGAGCCTTCAGAAATGATGGGCGATGTAGCCAAGTAGGATGGAACCATCTCCTATAGAGATTAATAATAGTTAAAAATGTAGGCTTTAGGGACTTTTTAAAACATATATACTGTTTTTCTTTTACATTTGGAGAAATTATTATTATTAGCATCATTATTTTATTTTAAAAAAATGTTGTGTTACATGTTGCCAGTGACATGTAACATGTCTTAATACGGCAGCTACTGGCAAGTCTTAAATTCTTTTTTAAATGCTGAACGGAGCTGAGTGTGTTGTAAGCAAATAAAGCCATAACAAAAACATTGTATCTGCAAACAAAACCATTCATTCAAATGCGCATGAATGTAAACTGTAACCATAAATAGCACAACACTGCGGCCAACCTAATGCCATGTGACAGATTGTTCCTTATTTTATTACAAACACATGCACATGCCACAAATCTGCCTGTACATTGCATGGCTGTTGAAAAGCAACAGAGGCACATAAAAATACATGATAGCCTAATGTTCAGTTGTTATTGCCACTCAGTTGCCCTTGAGAACCAGACGGTCAGTTCATACGTCAGTTATCACTCCCTCATGGAGACCATTATCAACTATAGCCCTGCTAAACATAGTCACCACAATACAAAATGATAGGCTGACTATAGTAAACAGCAGAGATCTTGACAATTAAAACAGCCCTTTATCACTTTACTGTCACTTTTCATTTGTAGAATAATGAAAAGTTTAGTTTTATTGCACTAAACTAATGACATGGCCAGCAGAGACTTAAATAGAAGTCTTCTGAATGGCTAACATGCTTGGATACTTTTCTGCCCTTTGCAAAGAACTTAACTGGCACAGAGAGAATAGTCATTTTTAGGATGCCTATTTAAATAATACATGTCATCTGACATTTTGTGTATTTCCCAAAAAAATCCCCTCCAGCAGCTTTAATCTCTTATACCAGCAGCAAGATAATCCAAAGTTCACTGGACTGCAGTGAAAAAGCCTTTACTGATGGTTTATGACAAACGTTGGGTAGAGCAGACAGATCATTTAAAACAAAACACATTCTCCACCTTTAACGTCAAATAAATGTAATAAATGTTCCAACAATGATAATAAAAACCCACACACACTGTAACCTTGAAAAATAATCAGCATTAGGTAACCGGCACATGCCCTTTGTGTCCTTTTTTTAAAAAATGAGACGTAAACTGTGTCCTTTAGTTACTAAAAGCATATAAAATGTAAAGCACTATTACATCTCTAGATTATCAACAATTAAAATATCAAACCTGTTGTAAACCCTTTAATTCATAACATAATATTATATTTAATAAATGGTTTTATTCAGGAGTCTATTAATTTCATATTCCTGCGCATGCAATCTCTGTACTTGCTACTGGCTATGTTTAGTTAAATGGAGCACAAACGTCTAAGCAGTTTCAGCCAAACAGACAGTAATTCTTTTCACATTCAAAATGGCATAATTTAGTGGTCAAATAATAATGTTAACATAGTTGAGCGTAGAGTAGGACAATGCAGGATTTGTGGGATCTCAAGACAAGTTTATCTCTCTTTTCAGATCCTGTCACAATCCTTCAAAAGCCAGAATGTTCCACATGAGTGCTAACCAGGGCAACAATTCCAGCAATTACGAACACGGTGTACCTCAGCAGATATTCATCTCAGGCATTTGTGCCTGTGATGAGCAAGAAACCATCTGTGGTCAGAAAGTAATGAGGAAGTTTGGAAGACTAAGCCAGGAGGATAACCTATGTTACGCTGACAGAGCTTTTATTTGTTCAGCAGTCGGACAATATTTCAGGGCTTTTCGCCTGTGCTGTACTTTGCCCTTTAAATTGGCTGGCTCAGATGGGTGCTGTTTCAGACAGAACAACGGTTGCCTTGGCAGAGAAGAGAGTGTGTTCTAGAGCAAAGCTCGGGTAGCAGGACACATGCAGCAGGATTGTTTCCAGTAAACAAGTTCAGATTTCAAACTATGGTAGAGACTTGCATTTCTCAGTGCACGATCCGTTTTGGCTGCTATAAAAACACTATAGGGCTTATTGTTTGGTACATGAGGCCAGTACTCACCCCATCATCTTCTGTTTCTTTCACAAAGAACGCCTCTCCATTTTCGCCCAGTTTCATGTGTAAACTAACCGGCTCCCCATTTATCTCAATGTCAACCTAAGGAGAAAGGGAACATGGAATGCTGTCACTATAATAGACAATTTACAACTGTAAGCCTTGTGCAACACAAGGCCCATAGCAACGCTAATTATATATGATCCTCAAGCAACTGCTTTCCCCTTTAGTCTTCTACTTGATTTATGTCCATATGCCCATGGCTTTAATATATTTAAGATCTCTTATCCCCCACATATCTATATGTAGCATTCATGTTTTACTGACACCGGTGGCCATTAAGTGAAATGCAGCCAAAAACTTTTGGGCTAGCACTTTAGGATCTTCAACATACACGTGGGGATTGAACGTGTTTCCATGCCCCAATACACATATTGTTTAATTAGGGTAAAAGCTAAAACATAGACATCAAACATCCAGACACCACTGTCACAATCCAGAGAGGCTTTTAGATGATTTTGCAGGTTTAATGGTGAGAAAATATCTGTAAAAAAGCACCATCTAATCATAGTGATATGATATGAATGCTGATATGGGAATTTTTGTGTGTTTATATTTATGTTAAATTAGAATGTAGTACAAAATATATAGCTTTTTGAGGTGTTTAATTTGAGTCTCCTGAATAGATTTTGTGAGAAAGGGATTTAATTTAGGCTTATGTTCAAATATTCAAATACTTTAACCCACATTTGGTGTTTGTTAGTTCTTTTGAATTTGAATGCTTAAAATAAATACTCCATAAAGGTTTGAGGTACAATACTGAGTACAAATATATATATATATATATATATATATATATATATATATATATATATATATATATATATATATATATATATATATATATATATAAAAGACAATCAAATTATAAAGGTTTTTGCATTAAGCACCCCTAAAGTACACACAAGATGAATTATGAACTGCTAACTTGCAATAATATGAACAATTTCATACTCTGCACCCTAAAACATGTCTGTGCTAGTGCTTACCACTTTCTCCCGGGAGCGCAGCACACCCATCTTGCCGAATCGGACGTGAAACGGTGAGCACTGCAGTGTGCCATCAGGCTGACGCACCACAATGACATCGATACAGCCAGACAGAGTGGCAGGATTAAGACCTCTGTACAGCTCCTTCACCTGCACGAAAACCTGACCGGCCAGCTGACCCACGTAATTCATGGTCTGACTCTGAAATGGAGAGCAAGGGGAGACTAAAGTGAACACCGTGACAAAGGCCACCATCACCATCTTATAGCAGCTTGTGGAAGTCTGATCTCTTTTGCTTTCACACATAACTTTTTTTTAATGATCTGCACTTCAGCTCTAAAATTAATAGCTTTCTGTGTGAAAGTGCAAAGTCAACTATGTAAAGTCAACTGCGAGGTTGATGAGCCATCTGTGTGTGTTTAGAGTATGATGATAATAACACTCAACATCTCTATTTAAACAGTCGTTTACTAGTCGACTATGCAAAATTGTGCAGCTGCAGGCTTAAAGAAAGAAAAAAAAACACAGTTGTGCAAAGTAGGTCTAACAAAAACATGCTGTCTTGCTTAACTCAAGTCAAGATCTCTTTGTCAATTTAGGTGAAAGGTAAAATATTATCATCGAACCCCCTAAAGACCGCAATTGGTACTGGTAGACTCAATGACATTGCTCAAACAAGGATTACAAGTAGTTTTCCTTGAGCATTGCCAAGGATCTGACATGCAACCCAGAAAACTACTGCCTCTGTGTAATGCACAACAAACATAATGTTTAAAGTAATTAGCTAATTGCAGGTCTGCAATTAAACAAAAAGAGCTTGTGTGCACTATTACAATCTGCAAGCTAGGGCTTGTGCAAGCCAGAGAAGGCAAGACAAGTTTCATGGCATTAATGGGAAAAAAGAAAGGAAAAAATATGTCTGAGCGTGTATGCTCATTACAATTCCCACACATTTCACCTAATTTATTTTCATGACATGCCCATGAACTCTCTGGCTGTTTATGAGTGCTGAAAATGGATTTATTTAGAAATCATTTTTCAAAGATTGCTGGGCGGATTTCCATATCAGGTGCCAATTTTTCTGAATGAACAGAATTAAACATTTATATTTAGTACTGTACAAATGGCCCTCAGAGGACAGATTGAAGCTGCCTGTGGTCAAATGTTCCAAGCCCTGAAATATTTCTTGGAAATGGCAGAATGTATGTATTCACTCTCTGTATACTAATCCAGGTCACGGTTTTAAAATTCCAAAGCTTTCCAGAGCTTATAAACTATTAGAAAACCTAACAGCCTTATTAACCCAAAAGGATCTGTCCCCCAGGTGACCCTGCAGCTATGTAAAAAACCTTCAAGCAAGTCTTCATTGTTTATACAAAACAGACTGATCCTTCACATTCACACACACAGTCACATGGCACTGACATAACTCCAGTGGTTCTGCTGTTAGATATTGATGCCAATAATAGCATGGGCATCCAAACGTAGTGCAGTATCAAAACAGAAATGGCATACGACTCGTTTCAACAGAAAAAAAACGAATATTCTTCAGATAATAAGGTCATTTTTTATATTGACGTCTAGAACATACAACGTCTATGATCGGATTAATTGCAATATTTTTTTAATAGAAACTGTACACAGTCTGAGGCAGTATGATCGTAATAATCATCGTCACTGCGTATAAATATATATTAACTCAATCAAATGCATGCATGCATTTACGTACAAGGATGAGTATAAACAAGATGGCAATGGGAGGGATGAAACTCCCTGTAATACATACGTGGGATGCGGCAGACGCGTTAGGATGTCATTGCCATTCAAAAGCACTTAGTGGATCCTCGTTTCCCTCTGACGTTCGCTGCTCCTCGTTCATGTATTTAGTCTCTACCACTGTTTGTTGACTGACTGTTGTATTTAAAGCAGGGTGGAAACTGCTTGCAGTGAATAGCAGTCCCTGCCTCTGCAGCTGACATCACAGTTAACCCTTTCGCTCATCTACCCTGCGACGCGACAAACAGAAATAAGCCTCCGTTTACAGTCTATGAAGCGGACTACTGTATCCAATAATATACGCGCGACGCGTCTCTCACGTTCAGGGTCATGACGTCGCCACCCATTGGCCCAATCAAACACTTTGTTTATGAGACGCAACGCGACTAGAACGCTCCTAATCAACACTCAACACAGCGTCGAAACCATTACTTGTTCACTAAAAGGCATATGGATTTGTTTTGAGCACCATTAACATTTGTGTTATTGTTTGCTTTTTACTAACAGAGTGTTATTTTGTTTCGATAATAAAAACCTAAGGATGTGTTTTATGTTTTCACATTTATCTGCCTCATTTATATTTCATTATAAACGTTTGCTGAATCTGACGTTATAGTGGTGAAATTATGCTGAACAAGCGCTGTATTGAATGCACACGTTTAATGGATTTAACATACACTGCTCACGTGGCAGGAAAGCTGCTGCAGCTGAACTGGCAATCGAATGTTTACAATAGTGTGTGTGTGTGTGTGTGTGTGTGTGTGTGTGTGTGTGTGTGTGTGTGTGTGTGTGTGTGTGTGTGTGTGTGTGTGTGTGTGTGTGTGTGTGTATTTGGCTATGGCTGTGGCTGTCATAGAAAGTAATAAATGTTGGTGTACTTTTTCATCATCATCACCACATGCTGTTAAAAAACAGAGTTAGGTTCATGTCTCAAATGCTACTATGTGCATAATTTTCTACAAGTACTATAATATAATGTAATAACATAAGTAATGCAGTAACAAAATTAAAAAGTAGCCAATGTCTCTTTGATGGTTGAATGCTTCCCAAGGTACTTCAAAGCATGGCATTACTGTAACCTGAAGAATAAATATATAATACAATAACAATACAAATGCATTACATACAGAATGTCAGTATCTGCTAAGAAAAGGCTGTCGATTGGCATCAAAAACTTTGAATATCCCTGTCACTTTGATGAATGTTTACCCTGCTATGGTTCTAATTTAAAAGTACAGCAAAGATTAGGGTGGTATTATTATAGTGCAATGTATGACATTTTAAAAGAAAAGAGGTTCACTCTTTTGTTTCCTATAAAGCAGTGATGTTTCAGCAGATGGCCTTTATCCAACATTTCTTTATGAAATCTGTGTAGTATTAGTGTGTGCGTAAATCATGTTCTATATAATTATTATATATATTATTAATAAAATGTATTTATTTCTGCATTGTACAGAACTACAAATATGTGTACTTGTGTTCTAAAGTTAGGCAATGCATCTTTGCAGATTATATCTAGATATTAAGATCAGGGTAATGCTTTGGTTGTTTTTGACACCACTAAAAGCCTTCTTCTCATTCTGCATAGCAGTTATTGTAGTGTAGTGTACTGTGGTAACCCCTTGGTGTGCTTTAAGAGGAATTTCAGACCTTGTGTTTGTGCGAATGGTTCAATAGACTATGTGTGTGCGCATGTGTGTGTTGTGAGAGAGAGTTCAGGAAATGCTGCCTTTCTCTGAAAAGGGTCACTACAAGACGCGTGTGTGTGTGTGTGTGTGTGTGTGTGTGTGTGTGTGTGTGTGTGTGTGTGTGTGTGTGTGTGAGTGAGTGTGTGTGTATGCGTGTGCGCATGCATTTCTGTGAAGTGCGATTAAGGCAAAAGAACAACCTAAAAAAAAAAATTAAAGCACTGGCCAGGTCTTCAGTTGCACAGCATGCTCTCAGCACGCTTTCTATTTCATCATGATCTGTTGATTTCTTCCCTGGATAAAGCAGCACACTAGAGTACATTCCAGATACACTGGCCGGGTTTCTAGGAATTGGAGAATGTGATTTAGGGGCTCTGGGGCCTGAGGAGACTACTAATGCTCTGTATAATAACATTGTACTTATGCATAAAATTCTTATAATGGATTGACATGATGAACAGATATAAACAAATAACAATTTATATGTATGAATTAAAACATTTATACCATGCATTTTCTTCCACTCATTCTGTAAACAGTTATATATATCAAATATTCACACTGTTTATTTGTAAATGCTGTTTCTCTGTTACTATGGAATGCTTCTAAACATTTCTCTCTGTAAAATGAGCACATGGCTGATTGTGAAATACTGTACATTTCCTAGAAATCCCGTGTATACATTCACGTGGGGGAAAGGGGAGTCGTCTGGGATGGGCCATCTCCACCAATCAGAGGCAGAGGGGCCTGTGACATCAGGCATGTGGGGTCATGTGTTTATTGAACTGCTGACCTTACTATTGTAGGAGGGAAGAGTGACACTGAGACTCTTCGCTGAAGTTGTTTTTCTGCATCACTTCATTGTATTTCTGACGTCCCAGAGCAGTACAGCATGTACCATATGCAAGTAAAAAGAGATCATGTTTAGTTACTATGAGGGGCTGGGTTGTAAACAAGTGAAGGAAGTATGTTTGATTAAATCACATTGTGTAACAATGTGGAATTGTGTGTGTCTAAATGGGTACAAAATCCTTATGATATTAGAGCAAATGCCATTCATTTACTTTGTATACTGATTAATTAAATTAATAGTTAATAATACATTTCAAAATTTGTTGAGGAGATTTTCCAAATTTAAGCCAGTTCACAGACACAATACAAAGGCAAAACTTACTTTTTCAGGTCTTGTCAGATCATTGTGTATTACACCTGCATTTGTTGACCATAACTGGTTTTCACTGATTTCACAGACTTCAAAATTTAAAAGGAATAAGGTGCACAATGTCAAAAGAAGCTAATTTTCTGTTTTAACATTTTAAAGCAGAATTGTTTAAATGGCAGTAAAAATACTTATAATAATATTAAAATTTTGTATGAACATGATTTGAATACTGAAAAAATTTGTCACTGTGATCAAAAATGATCAAAAATTTATAAATGAACAGGGAACTAATTGTAAACCTTTCAAACTACTTCAATTCAAAAATTTGGGGGGTTATACTTAAACATGGTTAACAATTCTTAAATGAATCAATAGCATAAGGTGTGCATAATAATAATAATAATAATAATAATAATAATAATAATAAACATTTGGAGCAAATGAAAGCAGGTAATATTTCTTTTGTGAAACCAGCAACTGACGAAAGACTATTGAAACACAGAGTCATTTACACATAGGAAAACAAAGGGGATAATGAGTTACTAATTAACCTCCCAGGAAAAGGCATGGTCAGTAAATGACTATTGAAACCAGCTGTGGAGACAAACAAGAGTGAACTGGGCACAGCACAAAAACTTAAGGTCCTGATTTTAGGATTTGTAAATTGGGCATAAAGCATTTTGAGCTAGTCCACATTTTGCGCTCACAGGATTTACATGAGAACAATGAAACTTGGGTTTTGGGACTAACAACATGTCATTTCTATGTACCTAACTATTCAGCTATGCCTAGATACAGTTTGTGTCCAGTTGTATCTCACCTTTAATAGATTTTAAATGTAGACAATAATGCCCGTTGTGATTAAATGTTAAATTGATATCTTAAATAGTTTTTCATTGATCAAATAATATTTTTCTAGTAGTAATAAGAAGTTTGAGCAAACAACAATTTTTTTTTAAAATATTTTTGAGTGCTACAGCATCATATATAAGAGAACATGACAAGAAAACAAAGTTTTAAAAAGTTGTTTTATCATTTTCAAGACTCATCTTGAGTCTTGTTTGATCCAAGTGGGATTATTTTTAGCTGAAGGAACATGAGTGTAGATATCTATCTACAGTATCTTCTAAATCTCAAACAGCACTCCAAATGCAAAATTGGAAACCATAGAACAGGCTTGGCTGGAAGATCATGCTGATGTCTGTTTATTGTCAATCAAGCTAAAGACCCTGTTCTTTAAAAAACAGTTTCCCTGGTCTCAGCACAATCAGACTCTTGCTCTGCTGCAATGCTACTCTGGGAGCTTTACGTTAGTTATTTCAACCTTGACATAGCACGGTTCATATTTACAATAACCATTTCAACCTTGTATCTGCACTCAGAAATAAAGCTACAAGAGCTGTCATTGGGGCGTTACCTTTTCAAAATGTACACATTTGTAAGGAAAGGCTTTATATAATACCTCAACGGTACATATTAGTACCTAAAAAGTACAAATGTGTACCTCCTAAAATTTCAACGTACGAATAAATATATATATATATATATATATATATATATATATATATATATATATATATATATATATATATATATATATATATATATATGTTTGAGGTGCCAATATGGACCCTTTAAATCCAAATGTGTATTTTGTTAAATGTACCACCCCAGTGACTACTCTCATAGCTTTGTTTCTGAGAGTGTGCTGTGTTTCAGTTGACCAAAGCAATCCAAACAACTTAGCATAACTGATGCTACTTCTGCACAGGCAATAACATTCATACTTGTCCAGAAACATGTGAACATTTTGTTTGTATAGCACTTGAGAACAAACACAACTGTGCATATGCTCTTAAAATATGAATCATGCATGAATCACAACCATTACTGGGTTGTTTAATGGCTGCAGTAGTGATTATATAACAACGTACAGATCGTGACCTTCACTGACTTCTGCAGAACATTTTAATTAATCATATTATCTTTCCTTTTATTAAAAATACTCTGGTCTAATGAGAACATTGCACCAACATCCTATTAACACACACTTTGCAGAATGACACCGCTCAAAGGTTGAATGCAAACCGGGGTTGTCTTTGGAAATGCCAGTGTAACTTGACACAGTGACGCACTCAGTGCTCTTTGGTTCTAGGTCACATGACAGGCTCTAGAAGCAGCTAAATCACAAGTTCACGATGTTCCTGACGATGACCGTCACCTAGTTGGGGACATCTGATAGATAGGTGCCAAAAACTCATATTTCACAGACTAATCAATAAGAAACATGATATAAAAAAGAAAAATGGATGGTAATTTGTAATTTAACAAGGGTGTCATAAAGAGTCTATATTGGCACCTCAACCGTAAAATTTTAGGAGGTACACATTTGTACTTTTTAGGTGCTAATATGTACCCTTGAGATATTATATTAAGCCTATATATTTTGAAAAGGTAACACCCTACTGACAGCTCTTGTGCCTAACCGCTTTTGCACTATGTGTTTGTGCATGTACAGTATTGCTTTAATATGCTGTCAGCTCATTCTTAAGATGACGTTCCTTTAAAAATAACCAATATTTGAAGCTCTACAGTCAGCACGAAGTTTATAAGAACAAGCAATAAAGCTACACTAACATTAGTAAAAAGATACACTTTAAAAAATATCGTTAAAATATGGACA